TGTGCTGTGCCCGAGCCACAGCGGGGTCCTGGCTCAGCCTCTTCCGGGGACCACCCGAGCGAACGCCGAGTCAGTGGCCGCCGGGAATCCTCCAGAGCTGCGTGGCCGGCCCTGGTGGAGCTGATGCAGGGGCTCAGGGCTGCCCTTGGTGAAGGAGAGAGGGGCTCATTCATCCCCGAGGCTGCACCTAGGCAGTGTGGCTGCCCCCGGAGGAGGCCAGGACGTGCCCCGCAGCCTCCCTTTTGTGGAGACAACAGTCCTTTTCCGAGAGTGGCCCAGAAGCACAAGCCTGCCCATCTCGGGCTTTTGAATGCCACCACCGAGTGCATCTGGGCTCCTGCGCTTGGGCCCCTCGGATGACAGCCGCCCTTTCCTGGTTTAGGTTTGCCCGGCCCCGCCCTCCAGGCGCTCTGCAAACTCATCCGGGCATCGGAGACTGGCGAGCAGCTCATCAGCCGGGTGAGTGCCGAGCCACAGAGGTGGCAGTGCTCTGGCCCCACGCAGGAGCCTGCACGCGACACGGCACCGTTTCTTCCTTCAGCCTTTGTGACAAGCAGGGAAGGGCCAGGGCTGGGAGCCATGCCCCAGCCCCCTCAGCCCTGTGTCCTCAGGTACAGGCCAGGCAGAGGTGACACCTTACCGTGCAGCAAGATGCAGGTGATGCTGAGGGGGCCCTGCCACCTGTAGTCTCAGAGCAGGCCGTAGCTCTCCATTCGGGGACCTCCTGCCACTCGTCGTCCCCCAGCTTTCCAGCCGTGAACAGGCATTGCAGCCACCCCTCCTGAGTGAGCCAGTGTGAGGTCCCCCCAGGACAGCAACAGGTGTCCCAGCACTTATGCTCTGAGGCGAATTAAGAGCTGTGCCTGAAACAAAAGGGTGGTGAGCACAAAGTCAACTCTAGTATGTCACATGGCATGGTGGATCAAAAAGTGTGCTTTCTTCCAGTGGACGGTAGCTCCGATCGGGAATCTGGAGGGTCTCGGCCCTCTGCATTATGTGCTAGGCCTTCCCAACTTGACCCTGAGGCATCCCTGCCCCCCCCCCCCATCCTCCTGGCTCATGACGGTTTGCGATGAGCCAGGGTGAGGGCCTCTGTGATGGCCCAGCCGCCCCCAGAGGGCAAGTTTCTCTGGTCCTTTTGGAGAGTCATCATTTGAAAACTGGTCACCACTGTTAGAGATGCTTGTCAGCAGCCTTCACTTTAAGCTGAAATATCTCTATGTGGAAACAAAGCTGCCCGACCCTCTAGCATGAGCCCCTGAAATTTCCAGTGGCACCAAGCCCCTGTTGACCTGGGTGGGGGCTGCTGCTTCCAGCAGCCTTGGAAACGCAGCCCCACCCAGAGGTGGTCCCTTCCTTTGAGTTCTTGCTCAGCGTAGAATCGGTGGCCACCACCAGGAAGACAGAGCACTCCATGTTAGAACGTCCCAGTGCCGGGAGGGCAGGCCATTTGAGCACCAGAGAGAGCTGGCGTGACGTCGGCAGCGAGCCGCAGAGTCCAAAAACGCCCGTGTTTCCTTCCCTTCTTTTTGTGGGAGCAAAGGACTTCCCACCTGATCTACTGTCAGGCCCCCGGGGAAGTGTCCTGAGGGCCTGGAGGGCTGGTGGTTGGGTGGACGTTTCCTGAGTCACTCTGGGAGCCGGCTGGGCCCTCTGCCCCCGGTCGGGGCTCCCTGCTCTTCTCCTTTCAGGAAGGGCAAGGCCTGGCTGCCCCGCCCCTTGACCCCCAGAGCACGTGGCCTGGCGTGGCTGTTCGTTTGCCTGTGTGTCCCTGCTGGCTCTCGCTCCTTTCCCCTCCCAGTCACACACGGGCCTGCGTGGCGCTTCCTAAAGCAGCGCTCAGCTCATGGTGCATAACAACCTGTGCTTGAGTCTAAACTCTTCTCTCTCTTCTCTCTCTTTCTTTGTCTTATAATCTGCTGGCCGAAGGCTGTTAAAAATATGGTTGGAATGGTGAGTACCCCCTTAAGTAGCAGCTGCACCAGGTGAGCCTCACCCTGCCCACTGCACCCCGAGTTATGTCGGTGCTGCGCTGCTGGACTGACTTGTCTGTAACGGGGCCGGGGACGCATGCTAACACACTCTGGGCCACGGAGCTCTGGGCTGGGTGACCAGGGCTGCTGGCTAGCAGTCTGTCCCTTCCTCTGCTCTGGGCCCGCCTGTCCTCCTCCACCCTTCTTGTGCTCTTGATTGACCTTCCATGTTCCACCCGAACAGCAGGGGCAGGGGCAGAACCAACTTTAATTAAGTGCGAACACTGTGAGCCCCAAGGGAGCTCAGGCTCAGGACACCTGCAGTGCCATGGGCCCCTGAATTGGTCATATGGGTTCTTCTTCAAGTGCTGAGGAACTAAGTAAATATTTGATTCCTCTACCATTTATCTCAAGATCATAAAGATTACCTCCATTTTTAGAGAGAGAGATGTCCAGTCTTGTAACTCACCCCTCTTCTGCTCCGAGCCCCTCCCTGTACCCCGTGGCTCCTCAGCATATGCCAGGGAGGATGCAAGGGCTGGAATCCACAAACCCTGATTGGGGGCCAGCCCAGGCCCAAGTGTCTCTGTCACCGGCTACTGGCCACCTTGGATTTGACCATGGGCACCTAGAAAGGCACCTTCCGGAATCCTGTTCAATCCAGGGCACTCACTTTTCCCTTCTCAGCACTGTTAGCATGGCTAAGGCACCAGCTAGCATCTCTGACCCCACTGCCCCTTGACCCAGGCTTCAAACCAGTTTGAACTGTTGAGTCGTGGCCAATGAAGCTAAACTAGAACAGACCCTGATTTTAAAATGTGGGTGACCTAGAATACCGACTGGCTGGGAAAAATCATGGCTCAAAGCCCTGGATCGGGAGGCTCGGAAGACGCAGTGAGCCCTTTCAGGAGCCATTTTAACGTGTGGCGCTGGATTGCTGCCAGGACTGTGGAGAGTAACACACATTCACAGCGTCACGGCTTCCATCTTTGAGCAGGGCACCGCTGTTTTCAACTCAGGAGGTCACGAGATCTGGTTGCTATGCAAGGCACACGCTGCCCTTGTTCTTTAGGAGGGTAAGTTTTAAGCAGGGCATCGGCCTGTTCCAGTTAACATCCTGGTTCACTCACATTAAAAAATTCGGGTCCGTTCCAGTGTCACTTCATCAGCCATGCCCTTGACCTTCCCAGAGAGTGAGGATGACATGGTAATAGGTAGGAAGGCCCTTTAAAAAGGAATCTCAAATGCTGAACACCTGTGAGGTGACAGAATCATTAGTTGATGACAGTAAGAGGTGCTATAGGAACCACCTGGGGACAAACCCTGAGGCGGGCCGGAGGGGAAGGGGACGCTGGAAAGAAGAGCATGCTCAGGTCTGCCCCTCCCCCCAGCTCCACCAGGTGCTGGTTCAGCTGCAGGCTGGCGAGAAGGAGCAGGACTTCGCGTCAGCACCCATCCAGGTGTCCATCAGTGTCCAGCTGTGGCGGCTCCCGGGATGTCACGAGTTCCTGGCAGCTCTAGGTAGGACAAAGCACCCTTGACTTAATTTGTTTCTTTGGTCAATTTTTAAAGTTTCTTTTCCTCCTGGTTTTTGTGGGGTTGTATAGGTACTCTTTTTGGAGTCTAATCTCAGTGCTTTCTTAGACATTTTATTATTTAAAATACTCAAAGATCCTCGTGCTTTAAGAAGATTCCCGAACGACCCTCATCTTTGTCCCCTTTGCCCTGTGTGATGATTTCGTCTTCCTTAGTTGTATCTTCTTTTTTTTTTTCAACTATTGCTCTTTTATTATCAACTTTTTATTGTGATTTAGGTGAAAGTTTACAGAGTAAATTGGTTTTCCATTCAATAGTTCATACCCATTTTGTACTGTGACATTGACTGCAACCCCCACTTCTTCCCTGTGGTTACCATTTTCCTTTGTCCTTTCCTAACCATTCTTGCCTTCTCAGCTTTGTTGTTGTTGCTGTTAGGTGCCATCGTCTCTGACTCACAGCGACCCTGTGTACAACAGAACGAAACACTGCCCCGTCCCATGCCAGCCTCACAATCCTTGCTGTACCTGAGCCCATCGTTGCAGCCACTGTGTCAGTCCATCTCGTTGAGGGCCCCCCACTTTACCAAGCATGACATCCTTCTCCAGGCAATGGTCCCTTCTGACAACATGCCCAAAGGAGGTCAAACGAAGTCTGGCCATTCTTGCTTGCAAGGAGCATTCCAGCTGCACTTCTTCCAGGACAGATTTGTTAGTTCTTCTGGTAGTCCATGGTACTTTCAGTATTCTTTACCAATACCACAACTCAAAAGCATCAACTCTTCTTTGATCTTCCTTATTCATTGTCCAGCTCTCACACACATATGAGGCAAATGAAAATACCATGGCTTGGGTTAGTCTTCAACTAAGTCTCAGCTTTACCCCTGGGCAAATGCTGCCATTTTGATCTCTTGTTTGGTTGTTCTAAGAAGTGCCGACCTTCTTGGTGTCACTGTTCATTGCACAGGCCTGTCTACCGTTTGGATGAAAGTGGAGCCACAGGAGTGAGTTCAGTTTCGGCCTAAAGTGTGACCAGGGGCCATAGTCTCAGGGTTTTTACCAGTCTCTATCAGCCCAGTAGGCCTTCCCATTTTTCTTATTTTGAGATTTGTTCTACATTTTTCTCCCACCATATCCAGGATCTCCTTTTGTGATCCCTTTCAGAGTGATTGACAGTAGTAGCCAGATACCTTCTAGTTGTTCTGATCTCAACGTTATGAAGACTGAGGTTCACATGGTCCACTAGTCTCTTGGACTAATTGTTTCCATGTATCTTTGATTTTCTTCACTTTTCTTTGTTCTGGATGGGGAGAGATTAATAGCTGTACCTTAGATGGCCGCCAACTCCAAGCTTTTAAGACCCCAGTCACTACTCACCAGAATAGGATGTAGAACAATGTCTTTGTGGACAATACTATGCCAGTTGAACTTGATGTCCTCCAAAACTATGATCTTGAGCTTGTAGGCCCAGCAACTCATTCCCTTAAGGTATTTGGTTATGGCCAAGAAGTTTCCTATCTTTGCTCCCCGTGAGCTCTACTGTACACATGGACATTTTTACAGCTCATATGTATCCTTATGTAGAAATATGGTTGTGGGTATAGTCTCATTCGCCTACCCACACCCGATCATCTTGCCTGTCTACCTATGTATCCAGTTGTAGATTAATGTTTGTTACTACTGATCATGCAGGATTGTGTGTGTAATAGTGTTTACCTTTGCTGTCTGTATCTCGTGTGACCTCTCCACATCTGTCTTTTCCTTGGTGATACTGTGCTGGTCACCCACTGTTTGTATACTACCTCTCCCTTTACCCATATTAGTACGTGTCTCTTACCTACTTAGGAATTTTCCCTCCCTCCCCTGGTAACCAACAACGTTTCCTTCCATGTGTAAACCTTTCCTTGTCTTTTTACAATAGTGGACTCGTACAATATTTGTCCTTTTGTGATTGATTAACTTCACTCAGCATAATGTCCTCCAAGTCCATCCATGTTACAAGGTGTTTCACAGATTCTTCACTGTCCTTTAGTGTTGCACACTCTTCCACTGTGTGCATGGAACACAGTCTGGTTATCCCTTCATCCACTGATGGGCACTTTTAGGTTGTTCCCATCTCTTTGCTGTTGTGAACTATTGTGAATAGTGCAGTGATGAACATGGGTGTGCATGTATCTGTTCTCATCCCAACTGTCAGTTCTTTAGGACATATATCTAGTATTGGGATTGCTGGATCAAATGGTATTTTTGTTTCCAACTTTTTAAGGAGGTGTCATACTGTTTTCTATAGTGTTTGTACCGTTTTACAGTCCCATCAGCTTTGTATGAGAGTTCCAGCATTTGTTGTTTTCTGACTTGTTGAAGTTTGCTGCCTGAATATCATCTTTTGTGAAGTGTTTATTCATGTCCTCTGACCATTTTTCAATTGGATTGTTTGTCTTTTTGATGTTGACGTATTGAAGTTTTCTATAAAACTTATAAAGACTTGTAAGCGATAAGTCCCTTGTTGGGTATATCATTGCCAAATGTTTTTTCCCAATCTGTAGGTTCTCTTTTTACTCTTTTGGAGAAGTCTTTTGATGCACATAAGAATTTACTTTTTAGAAGGTCCCAGTCATCTAGTTTATCATCTACTGTTTGTGCATTTTTGGTTATGTTTGATAGTCTGTGCTATAAAATTAGGACCCCTAAAGTTGCCCCTATGTTTTCTTTAATGATCCTTATAGTTGTGGGTTTTATGGTTAGGTCTTTGATCCATCCTGAGTTAGTTTTTGTATATGGTGTGAGGTATGACTCTTGTTTCATTGTTCTGCAAATGGATCTCCAGTTTTGCCAGCACCATTGGTTAAAGAGACTGTCTTTTCCCATTCAGTGGTTTCTGGCCTTATGCCAAAGATCAGCTTTCCATAGGTGGATGGATCTACTTCTGGGTTCTCCATCCTGTTCCACTGGTCTATATGTCTGTCGCTGTACCAATACCAGGCTGTTTTGACTACTGTGGCTGGATAGTAAGTTTTGAGATTAGGAAGTGTAAGTCCTCCTGCTCTCTTCTTCTTCAGTAGTGCTTTGCTTCTCCATGGTCTCTTTCCTTTCCATGTAAAATTAGTGATTGTTTTTTCCATCTCCTTAAAAAATGATGAATCTGGAATTGGATTGCATTGTACCTACAGATTGCTTTGAGTAATATTTACATTTTTACAATGTTCAGTCTTCCTACCCAATAGCATGGTATGTTCCATTTATGTACTTCTCTTTTCGTTTCTTATGTTGTTGTTGTTGTTATTTGCCATCGAGTCGGCCCCGACTCATAGCGACCCCTCCTTGGGTTTCCGAGGCAATATCACTTCCTTCCGAGGAGTGGCTGGTGGGTTTGAACCGCCAGCCTTCTGGTTAGCAGTCAAGTGCCTTAGGCACTATGCTACCAGAGCTCCTTTCGTTTCTTATAGTAGTGTTTCATTTGTACAGGTATTTTGTGCCTCCGGTAAGATTTATTCCTAAGTATTTTATCTTTTTGGTAGATAGTGTAAATAGTATTGTTTTCCTTATTTCTTTTTCAGAGATCTCTTTGTTGATCATGGGGATTGTGACTGACTTTTGTGTGTTAATCTTATACCCCTGCCATTATGGTGAATCCTTCAATTAGTCCAGTAGTTTTCTTGCTGAGTTTCTGGGAGTTTCTATGTAAGATCATATCATCTGCAAAAACAATGGTTGTACTTCTTCCTTACCAATTTGGATGCCTTTTCTTTCCCTTTCTTGCCTTATTGTCCTGGCTAGGACTTCCAATACAGTATTAAACAGGAATGGTGCTAACAGGCATCCCTGTCTGATTCCTGTTCTCAAGGGGAATGCTTTCAGTCTCCATTGAGAATAACATTGGCTTTTGGTTTTGTGTATATGCCATTAATTATGTTGAGGAATTTTCCTTCTGTTCCTATCTTGCTGAAAGTTTTTATCAGGAATGGTGCTGCATTTTATCAAATGCTTTTTCTGCATCAGTTGATGTGATCATGTGGGTCTTTCCCTTTGCTTTATTTATGGAGTGGATTACATTTAGTTGAACCATCCTTTCATAACTGATGTGAATCCCACATGGTCAGGATGGGTTATTTAATTATATATATATATATAATTATATATATATATATATATATGTTGTTAGAGTCTGTTGGCTAGAATTTTGTTGTAGATTCTTGTGTCTATATTTATGAGAGAGGGATATTGGTTTGTAGTTTTACTTGTTCATGGTGTCCTCCTGGCTTTGGTATCAGGATTATGCTTGTTTCATAAAATGAATTTGGGAGGATTCCATCCTTTTCTATGTTCTGGAATAGTTTGAGTAGGATTGGTGTCAGTTCTTCTCTGAATGTTTGGTAGAATTCTCCAGTACAACCATCTGGGCCAGGGTTTTTTTTTGTTGTTGTTGTTAGTAATTTTTTTATGACCTGTTCAATTTCTTCTTTTGTTATAGGCCTGTTCAAATTTTCCACCTCAATGTGTTAGTTCAGGTAGGTAGTGTGTTTCTAGAAATTTGTCCATTTCTTAGAGATTTTCAAATATGTTGGAGTACAGTTCTTCATTGTATTCTGTTATTATCCTTTTCATTTCAGTTGGTTCTGTTATGACATCACCCATTTCATTTCTTATTCCTGTTATTTGCATCTTCTCTTTTCCTTAAATTTATGAGTGGTTTGTCAATTTTGTTAATCTTTTCTAAGAAGCAACTTCTACCCTTGTTGTTTCCTTTTACTGTTTTCCTGTTTCATTTATTTCTACTCTAATCTTTCATTATTTCCTTTCTTCTGGAAACTACGCTTTTTTGTTGCTATAATTTTTAGAGTCGTTGGGTTATAGTATTGATTTTGGCTTTTTCTTCTTTTTTGATTTGTACAGTTATTGTTATAAACTGACCTCTGAGTACTACTTTTGCTATGTCCCAAAATTTTGTTGTGTTGTGTTTTAACTCTTGTTTGTTTCTAGGAATTT